GAGAGAGAGAGAGAGAGAGAGAGAGAGAGAGAGAGAGAGAGAGAGAGAGAGAGAGAGGCAGGAAAGATGTGGCGAAGAGTGAAGTGGGGTAGAATTTTGGCAATCCTTGCGACTTATCATCATCCAATATCTCATCTTTCACTTCCCATAGAATGTTAATGCATTGTGGAAAGGTCTCTTTTCTTGCAGCAATGAGTTTTCCTCACTCTTCTTTTTGTGCAATTTGTGTCGGTTTTAAAAAATTCAAACAGGAATTCCACTTCAGCCGAGCATGTTTTAGACCCTCATGTCATTGATTAGCACGCATGTAGCTGTACACCATTCCAGCCTTATGAGCAAAGGGAAGCGAGTTAATTCTCAAGCTCTTGCAAAGATGTGGCACTTACCTTGTGGCTGAACAGTTCACACATGTAACTGTTGACGAGGTCAGATAAACAGATCATGAGTTCGAGTCCTGGTGGATATAATGATGAAATGTCGCTGGTGAAGAGTTGTTTTACTGTCATTGAAATTAGTTTCTCCCTTGCCATGCAAAACCCGTGGGATCATGGTGAAGCCATTTCTCCCTTTACCTACTCGTCGTACTGTTTGATGCGATGATTGATTACTTCCCTTGCTATACATGTCTGACGACTTTGGCTTGATTGGTCTCAAGCATGTCCATGTCTTCACAGAACTGTTGTAGACGATGACACACTATTTGCAGAGAAAGAGAGAAAGTCCCGGGTGTTAGACAGATGAAATAAGTTCAAAGGTTCAAACCCTATCTTCCACACATTTCTGGTGCTGATCATTCCCCTTTTGGAAACAAAAAGGAGACCCTATCTGGCCTCGGCCTTTGCGACTGAGCGTACTTGTGTGGTGGTTACATTGTTTGGTAGTCTGCTGCACGAAGCTGATAATGGGGTATCACATCATCATAGCCGAAGGGATTATGTGTTCTGCTGCTCTTACAGGGGCGCCTTAAATGCTCAAAGGCATGGTCTGCAAAATGATGGAAACACTTTCACGGTGTGTCTGAACCATATTCTTTTCCCGTTGCTGTTCGCTTCGCTTCTCCAGGTCATCTCCTTTACCCTTACTTTTTGCAAGAGCTGTCTTCCATCGTCCTGGTTCGATAGATTAGATAGGCGAGCAGGTAGGCAGGAACAGACAGAGACAGACAGGCAGACACACAGACTGATAGAGACGGAACAGACACACAAATATAAACAGGCAGGGAAGGACAGAGACAGGCAGACAGACAGACAGACAGACAGACAGACAGACAGTCAGACGGAAACAGACAGGCAGAGACAATGGCATACGGACAGGCAGACCGCGCAATGAAATTGTCCTGTCAAAATGCATCGATTTTTTTTTTCTTTTTTTCTTACATTGATTTCTCATTTGTGCGCTGGAACTATTTCTTGGTATGGACTGACAGGCAGACAGACAGATATAGACAGAGACATGTGGATAGAGAGAGAGACAGGCGGATAGAGACAGTGACAGCCAGACGAAACAAAGGTGGACTGATAGGCAAAGACAGAGATGACGCACAGACAAAAACAGACAGTCAGTGACAATAGCATACAGAAAGGCAGACTGATGGACTGGCAGACAGGCACAGACAGACAGACAGAGGCAGGGGCAGACATATGGAGATAGATATGAGGAGATGATCAGGTGGATACAAACATGCAGATGCTGGGACGGACAGGTGGAATGAAACAGGCACATGAAACAGGCGCACATTAACACAGACACACAGATGGGCACAAACAGGCACTCTCACACATTGGTCTTCTGCTGTCCTACTGTATCTGGGGACGGGCTCGGAGAGTGGGTGCTGTGGGCGAAACTCTCATGAGCTGTAGCTCTTGGAGCACATGGTGACCCGGCAGGCCAGGGTGATTTATGCAGGAGTGGTGCTAGGTACTGTGTGCCTTTGGCTTGTTCCTCTTTGCAGTTTGGTGGAACAAGGAGCATGTCTGTTCCTTTTCCTTTGAGAGGGATTGTTCGTCTGTGTGACACTTGGCATAGGATGTAGAGCTGGTGGAGACTAAAGTGCTTTTGATCCCTCAGCCACAGTCTGAGATGCATGGGCGTATGTAGGAGACTATCTCTCAGTCTAGGGCACATACTGGGCGGTCCCTGGTCAAGCACGTGGACAGGAGGGACCTTGAACTTCTGTTGTCCTCTACATCACTTTGAAATTTATTGGATAGCATAAATGTGGTTGGTTGGTGATCCTTGCCAACACATAGACAGACACTGAGATAGAGACACACTGCCGTTATTGTCAGGGGTCTGCAGTAGACAGTCGGCTACGATTGCAGGGTGCGTGTGAGTAAAGCTGGCCACTTTTTTCTCATGAGTATCGGCAGCTTTGGGCAAGCTGGTGAATCCTTATCTATCAGTCAAATGCATCTGGACAGACTGTCGAGGTTCAACCTCCTGATGAGTCGGGGAAAGTTCGGTGAAACAGTTGATCACAATCACCCCTTTTTTACGGAATTGTATTTAGTCAATATGATACATGCACACACCTGTCTCTTATACACATCTAGATGTGTATAAGAGACAGCACACACACACACACACACACACACACACACACACACATACAGACACACACACACACACACACAATCCATCAGTCAAATGCATCCTGGGCAGACTGTCGGGGTTCAACCTCCTGATGAGTCGGTGAAAGTCTGATGAAACAGTCTGGTACAGTCATGCTTTTTTTGAGTGTATAGCGAATATGACAACTCACACACACACACACACACACACACACACACACACAGAGTAGTGCTCCTTGTGTCACGCAAAGATTCTCTGAATGATTGCTTGGAGTTCTGGCCACAGTATCTTGGTGAGGAGGCTCAGAGAGTGTTTGCTGTGGGTGCCATTCCCATGGGCTGTTCTTCTGGAGCAGATGGAAGAAACAGGGGGTTCCGGGGTGTTTCAAGCAGTAGCCCTCCTGGTGTCGTGAAGATCTTGTGGTCTTTGGGATTATGTTAACACCCCCCCCTCCTTATGAAGTCAAGCCAGGTCGAGGGCGAAGCTGACGATCTGAAGGTGGAACCTGGACGCGGGTGCGGCGTGGAGTACACACTCCTGAGGCTAGACAACAGATGGGCACTGTCTAGCCATGGAGTGATAGAGATAGTGGTGATGTGAGTGGGTCGTTTGGGAGGAATAGGAATGCCAGTGCTGGTCTGTGCTTTCTTGCTGCTCAAGCCTTCTGTGTTACTTATGTTGCCTTTTTTTTCAGACCATTGGGGGATCTGGTCTTTACCTTTTTTTTTTTTTTTTTTTTTTTTTTTAAACAGGTCCTTATGGCCCTGGCTCCATTTCCATTCTGGGGAGCGTCAGTCCGGTTCTTATTCCACCGGCAAGTCAGAAAAGATTACAAGACATACACATTCACGCTGGTCCCCCTTGTGGTGTGGAGGCCCGAAGGACAGCATTGATTACTTCCCAAGGGAAGGATGTACCACCCTTCACCCCTGCCTAAGTTAGCCTGAATTACTGGGAAACTGGATTTGACGCATGGTTGGGGCTAGAGCCGTAAACCCTGACTTGGTGCATCTGTGCCTTTAAATTGTCTACGGGGATCGTAATTGTGTCGTAACTTGGTGGAGTTGGAGGGTATAGACTGAGGTCTAGATGTCTCTTGCGGGGGATTGTTGGGCTTAAGGTGGGGGTGAGCTTGGGAGGGGGGAGGGATATTGAGTTCTGGGGGGTGGTTGGGTTGGGGATCGTGAGTTTATCGTGGTGTACTAGGTGTTGTAAGGAGGGAGTGGGGAGGAGGGGTGGAAGGGGTGGAGCGGGGGGGTTGTCAGGGGTTGTATTGGTGTGGGGATAGAAGCTTGGGGGTGTGTGGGCCGCGATGGGGGGAAGGAATTGGGTTGATGGGGGGCTAGGGGTCTTAGATGGTTCGGTGGAGGGTGAGTAGTGATAGGGTGGGTTGGGTCTGGTTATGTGTGGGGTGGGGGGGTTGTGTGGAGGCTTTATATTTGAGTTATGGATAGCCAATTTTTGAGAATTAGTCTGTTGTTGCTAATTGTGCCAAGTAGCCCATTGCCTAGTTTGGAGATGGAGAATTTTTGGATTAGTAGTTTTTTTTTGTCTGGGTCAGTTAGGAGATTCTCGAGTTGTTTTTTCCATAGGGCGTGAATTTCGGTGTCTATTAGTTGTCAAATAGTGATTAGTGGGTTTTCGGGGTGGTGAGTCGGTCGCCAAAGGTGTTGTCGCATCTGTTTTTCCATATGGCCCATAGGGTGCTTTTCTTGATTTGGGAGGCGAGGAAGGCTTAGAATCCTTTTAGCGGGGGTGATTGATTGAGGTTGAGGAATAGTGTGGCGGGGTTAATTAGTAGGGGAGAGTCTGAGATTTTAAACCACGATGATTCTAGGGCTTTCCAGAGGGATCTTGCCTTTGGACAATCCATGAAACAATGGTTTAAGGTTTCCGGAATATCAAGATTGCATACCTTACACCAGGATTCCTGTTCAGATCTGTTATCTTGATTGCGTCTGATGGCCAAGCATTTGTTTACTGGGACTGCTCTAGAGGCTATTAGCCATCTCAGGCCAGCTAGCTTAACCGGTCTTGTGGATAGTACTGTAGCCCAGAGAAGTTTAAAGTGGGTGCCTTTGGCCTTTACCTTTGTTTTTCAAGATTGAAAAAACTATATATATTTGTGCAAGTGTGGTGCTTCAACGGCAGACAAGTGTGTTGGCACTTCCCGCTCAACCACACAAACGTGCGGAACCTTGCACCTTCTATTATATTGCTTATCTACACTTTTTTGTTTATGGATGGCTTGTGATGGTATGTGTATGGAATGAGAGAGAGAGTTTGGGGATGTTGACAAACACACACACACACACACACAGACACACACACACACACAGACACACACACACACACACACACACACACACAGACAGACAGACACACAGAGAGACAGAGAGAGAGAGAGAGA